CCTCTGAACATTGACCACTGATGTTAAACTGTTGGCCTATTGGTTCTTGGTTCATCCCTACCCCCTTCTTGAATAATGGCCTTGTATTAGTTGTTCTCTAAGCTTCTGGGTATCTCTTCTGTATTCAGAAAGGATTTGAAAATTAATGTCAGGGTCCCTGCAATCTTTTTTCTCTTCCTTTCCTCCCACAGCAACTTAGGATACATCTCTTCTGGACCTTGGAGCTTATCTAATTTTAAGCCTGCTGAAATTGCTCATACCTCTGCTTTCTCACATGTAATTTTGTCAAGTATATCACAATCCTCTTTTCTGATTTCTACACCTACATCATTCTCTGTCGTGAATACACGTATAAAGAACTCCTTTAACATGTTGCCCATGTCTTCTAACTCCACCCACAGTTTGCCACTTAGGTTTCTGATGGTCTCCACTCTCTGCCTGGTTTACCTTTTGCCTCTAATATATTTAGAAAATACCTTTTGGATGTTCCTGTATTTTACCTGCCAGTATTCTTTCATGCCCCCCCACTCCCCCTTCTTTGCTAATTTTGTTTTTTTAAGTAATTTCTTGCACTTTTTATGTATCTCCTAAGGTTTCTGGTGTTCTAAGCCCTCGGTATCTACCAGAAGCTGGCCTTTACTCCCTTTACCAACATGAGCACAGAAGGAACAAGAGCAGCCCACTCGGCCCTTCAAGTCTACTCCACCATTCACTAAGGTCATGGCTGATCTGATTTAAACCTTGACTGTACATTCCTGCATACACCCAGCAATCGTTCATCATCCGTTGATAATCAAGAATCTATCTACCTCTGCCTTAAAAATATCTTAAAATTTTGCATCTACTGCCTTGTAAGGTAGGAAATTTCAAAGGCATTCAGCCCTCTGAGGCATTTTTTTTCCTCATCTCTGTCATAGACGTAGAGGTTTATAGCATGGAAACAAGCCCTTTGGCCCAACTTGTCCAAGCCGCTCAGTTTTGATAATTAAACTAGTTCCATTTGCCTGGGTTTGGTCTATCTCTCTCCATACCTATCTCATCCATGTATCTATCCAAATATTTCTTAAGTGACAAAATTATACTTGCGTCTACCACTAACCCTAGGCAGCCCGTTCCAGACACTTACTACTCTTTATCTGAAAAATTGCCCTCTGCACCCTTTTTCCTTAAATAGGTGACCCTCGTATTTTCAAACTGTGACACCTAGTTCCACAGAGCAAACATTTTTTCCGTATTCACCCGGGCAAGTCCGCTCAAGATCTTCTATGCTTCAGTGAAGGCACTTCTTCTAAATTCCAGAGGATATAGGACTCCCCTGTCTAGCTATTCCTCATAAGGCCATCCACCCATTCCAGATCTTATCATCCCATTTATATATTCCTTGATATTCAGAGTTCTCTGGAATTTTTTGTCCTATTCTCCACCCTTACAGGAAGATATTGACTCTGCACTTCCTTTTAATTTTTGAAAGTCTCCCACTGCTCCAATGTAGATTTTCTTGAAGGTTGCAACTTTCAATCCACTTTAGTCCGATCCAGTCTTATTGTATTAAGATGGGCCTTCCCCTGATTCTTGCCTATTTTTTTTCTCTTCTGTGATTACCTTAAATCTTTACAGCGTTATGGTCACTTTCACTGAAATGCGCTGTCTCTGGCACTTCCACCATTTGCCTTGTTTTGTTCTCTAAAATTAGATCTAGCACTGCCCATCTGTTTTGGGACTATCTATATGCTGGTTTAAAAAGCTCCTTTAGATACATTTTAAAAAATTCACCAAGTGTAAACCTTTTGAACTTTGTTTATCCCAGTCAGTATTAGGGAAGCTGAAATCCTTCACCATTATTACCGTATTTTTATTGCATTTCCGTAAAATTTGGTTACATATCTGTTCTTCTCTCTGTATTTGGGAGTCTGTAGTATGCTGCCAAAAATGTGATTTGCCCTGTTTTTGTTTTTTGGTTCTACCAATATGAAGGAGCCTTGTGAGATATGATCCCTCCTTATTGTCATGCAACAAATGACTCCTTGATCAAAACTGCAACACCACCTCCTCTTTTACACCTCTCTTTGTCACCTCTCTTTGTCTCACCAGAAGATTCTAGACCCTGGAGTATTGAGCTGCCAGACCTGCCTCTCCCTCTGCTGGTGTTCCTGTGTTAAATTGTCGTATCTCCTTATGTTAATCACCACCCTTAACTCGTTTGCCTTGCTTGCAAATATCCCTGATATTAAAATAAATGTCATCCAACCTTTCTTTGCTCTCTCGTGTCTAACTTGACAATAAGCACTCTACCTGCCAGAGTGACTTGGCTTCTACATTTGTCTGTGCATCACCAGTAATTGCACCTCCACTCTGTATCCCATTTCTGAGTCAAGTTAGTCAGCCGTCACCACCACCATTAGAGCTGGACTCTGACTACACTCCTGAAAGGAACTGTCAATTTCACCATTTTCTAATACAGAAAAACTGTTCTTCGGTTTGGCTACACTTCCCAAAGCTTTGGGGTGACCAGATGCTATCCGCTTAGCACTCAGACTTGCAGATGTAATCCAGACTACCAGGATTTCCCACTTACTGCAAATCATGTATCATGTAGGTCTGAGCAACTCTGCCCTAAATTTAAGACAAGTAGAAAAGCAATTTTTTTCTAAGAAGAAGCCAGAACTCTTCCTTAATGCAGCATTAAAGTGGAAAAAGACGGCTTCCCCACTACAAACTAAGTAGTGTACTGCTTTGTGCTAAATATCACTTTTATCATCCTTTTCAAATTCTGACATACTGTCTGATGGAATTTAGCTGCTGGTCCAACTGAGTTTGAATTGGGCCTCACCCCTCAAGCCTATATTTGGGAAGTTTCACTGCTGCTATTCCCTCCAGGTTTGCTCTACTCTGCTGCCATTTTGACAAGTCAGCGTAGCTTATAGACTAGAAAAAAAATTATCCGTATATTTGTCCTGAGTTTCACTTAGGTCTTTTCTCCTAGTCCACTCTGCAGTGATTCTGACTGCTGCACACACCTCAGTCTATTTTGGTTACTTCAACCTGCAGCATTTTATTCCACAATAGCACTAGTATATTTTATGTTATGATTGTTTTTATTGATCATTTTTACTTACAACCACAGCACCTCCCATCTGGCTTGCCAGACTTCCTCCTTGTCATGCAGCCATCTCCACAACATGGGTGCTCGCTGACCCTCCTGAATCCTTGTCATAAGCAACAAATGGTAGAAAGAGCAGCTTTAAGCCATAGAGGAAAACTGGCAGAGGGAGGATTACTCGCAGAATTTCAGACCTGGCATGAAAGAATGTTAAAATAAATCCTCTGACGCTAAACATGAATACTCAATAACTGACCATTGTTAAAGAAGAATGACTTTAAATGCAGTATCTTAAAATTGCAACTTACTATAGTCTGCTCTATTCTATTCAAAAACGGTACTGGAAACTAAATTCAGCCACTACTCACCAACAGCTGCATTCCTGTTGTAACATTAAGGTAGAATGTACTGAATGTGGCAATTTTTGATTCATTTGATTGAACCCACCTGGAGTAAAAGGAGAGGTCCCAAACCAAAAGGTGCACTCCTAAAATTGAGGAATGCAAAGAGAATGGGCATATTGGGTGAGGTGGTGACATAAGTCATATAATGCTACAGTGGCATGGTATCGTTTTAAATGATGTTCAACATCGAGAAAGATTGATTCAGCAAGTGAGAGGGGGAGTAGTAAGAGGGACCATATGTATGACCCAAGTTGGAGAAGTCTTGGGATTCAGAGTCAGTGCTGAGGATTCCCAGGGCCCCTCCGCACCGACAGTATACCATATTATATTGAGTCCTTTAGGTGATGCCTAGAGACGCAGTATTAGTCTTGCTGCTCTTTTTGAGGTAGATCTTGATACAACTAAGTGGTATGCTGGGTCATTTCTGAGAACCGTTAAGAGTCAATCGCATTGTTATGGGTCTGGAATTGGTTGTCAATCAGACTAGGTAAAGTGGCAGACTTGTGTCCCTAAAGGATGTTGGTAAACTTGGTTATTTTGCAACAACAATCTCCATTACTGATGTTAGCTTTTTATTGAGCACATTATTTGATAAGCTGAGTTTACATTCCTCACATTGAGATTTCAACAAGTCAGTTTGTTTTCCTTCAGTCAACTTACTATATTCCTTCTCACCATATCTCTTAAACCCCTTCACATTTCAGGAAAGCAGCCACACAATATAAATTTGCTCTTTTGGTCAAGTGTTCCCATATCCACATGAATTGCACTTGCTCATTTGCCTGAAGATTTCAATGTTTCTGAAAATTTGGTTGTATTCTCCTTCTAACACCTGGTTCATTTCCTGTTTTAATACAATCATCAAGTCTGGTAGTTTTTTACTGTATTTGCTTAAAAAGCAAAACTTCCATAGAACTTCTGTACAGTTGCCCTCCTTAAAGCCTGCATTCCGGTCTGAATAGTTTACATTTCAAGTGACCTTATGTTTTATTTTAATGAGTGTGCTTTACATATCTGCATTATTCTTTCATTTTCATTTTGTCAATCCTAGCCTCAACAGTGTTTTATGAACCCTTATTAGTCAAGGCCAAAAGTCAAATTAAAATTATTCTTTCTGCTATGATTTGTGCTATCCAGTGAAATATGTACACACAGAGTTATGGTTTTGTAGAAAAAATGCAAGTTTGTGGCATTTAACTCTTAAGTGTGGCAAAACTTTCTTGATGTTTTGTAGCAAAATTGACATTTTTGTTCATCATTGGGCCTGATTTTCTTCATGTATATTTTAGTCTGAAATGATTTATTTTGCTTGGCAGATTCATTTGTGTTAAGTGTCAAAGTTTTCCCTTTAGATTCTACATAGAAATGCACTGTTTTTGGAGAGTTCAGTTACAAATAGGTAATGTACTGTCAAACATGGTAGTTCTTTGAGTACCATTTAATATGAACAATATAGAAGTGGAAAATAAAACATTGTTTTGTTTAAATGTACTCAGGCTCTCCTGCCCTGCCGAACAACATGATGTATTTTGGAAGTTCGCAGGATGACATTGATGAAGTAGAAGAAGATGATGAATATGAAGATGTCAAAACACTTCCAAACAATGCTTCATCTTCATGCCATTCAACACCTAGGAAAGGAAAACCACAGGGTAAACAAGTCCTCAATGGTCATGGTAGGTTAATTTAATAACTATTGAAACTAATAACCGTAGACTGCATGTCAACCTGGGTAGAAGGCTGGCTGCATTGCAATATGCAGTTAATGGAGCCAACAAACCATCAAAGTTTATATTTTATAGTGTAGATTTATTGCCAAAAGACACTCCCACCTGTCAAGAGTTATAAAATGCATTGGTATGACAAGCTGAAATACCAAGTATTCATTCTTCAGAGCTGGGTAAGAAAGAGTATATTTGCACTGAATAAATATCTGGCAATGGATGGTGAAATCTAGTGATAGGTGAATACTACTTAAACATCTTGAAGTGGAACTTGCTTGTTCCTATGTGGCATACTGGTCACAGTGTTCTTAGAGTACTGAATCAGGAATTTATGCAGGCATAGTGATTCAACCATGCTAATTTGATCCTTATATAAAAGTTGATTTCTGTTTAACTTTCTTCTGTCCTTGATCAGCCTTCTCTTCCTCCATTTGTCTTCAAATATGTATAAGTTCCACTACTCCCCTTTCATGAGCAAGAGGGAAGAGGCTGTGGTATACTCTCTCCTAAGGAACATTGTTGAACATTGTCCATGCTCAGTCTGTGTGATAATAATTGTTTACAGCTAGACAATTGCATTTGTTTAAACTGTTTCTTTAGTGTACCAAGAGCTAACTTGTTCAGTAGATAGTCATGATTTTTGATTTGATTTTACTTGGATATCTGCTATTTAATCCTCCCCCTCACCTCCCTCTATCTCTCCTCCACTTCTCCTGTGTCAGATAACTGTAGAGTATTTCTCCCTCTCTGTTAGCCGTACTGCTTGAGGTGGTACCCAGCTTCTGTGTGAGATGCACTCTCAACTTGATCTTGGGTCCAGTGTTCTGGAGATGTTGCTGGTAGTTAATGTACTGTGAAGATATTTTGATGGTAGATGATGAATGAGTGATCAGCTACAAAACTAGACCTGAAGTTATTCCCTGAACCTCAAGTAGTTCAGGTAGAAGATTGATGTTACACCCATGCGGTGTTTCGTCAAAGTCTCCTTTGTTCTCTGGAAGCCTAGTCAAGAAAATAATCTTCAAAAGCAGTGTATTGCTGCTCAATCTGTCTAAAAAAATTGCCTCCTAGACATAGTAAATATCTACTTTCATGTCAGCAGGATATTTAGCTGGGATGTTGAATCCTTGAGCAACTTCATATGCTATCATTTATTGAGCCTCCTGAAAACATCATCCTCAAAGAATTTCACCAGCTGACAAGTAATGGAGCACTTGAATTGACAATACATCAAAAAAAAGAGCAGTTAGAGTCATAGTCATACAGCATGGAAACTGGCCCTTCTCCCCAAACTGGTCCATGCTGACTATGGGTCCTAATTAGCTAGTTCCAATTGCCCCATTTGGTCCATATCTCCCTAAACCCTTCCCATCCATGTACCTATCCAAATGTTTTGTTAAATGTTACTATTGTACCTGTCTCAACCACTTTCTCTGGCAACCCATTCCGTGTACGCTCCACTCTCTGTGAAGAAGTTGCCCCTCAGGTCCTTCTTAAATCTTCCCCTCTCAACTTAAACCTATGCCGGCTAGTTTTCAATTCCCCATCCCTGGGGAAAAGACTATACGCATTCATCCTATGTATGCCCCTCATGACTTTATACACCTCAGTAAGGTCATCCCTCATTCTCTTTGTTCTAAGGAATAAAGTCCTATCCTGGCAAACCTCTCCCTATAAGCTATACGGGATGGTTTAAACTAGATTGGCAGGGGGTGGGGAACCGGATTTATAATTCAGAGGATGAGGTATTCAGCCTTCCAACAGACACAACAGGGAGTGAGGTTGTTTATAAAGAAATGCGCTCGACGAAGCATAATTGTGGACACGGAGATGGTTTGAGGTGTGTATACTTCAATGCTAGAAGTATCAGAAATAAGGCGGATTAACTTAGAGCATGGGGGGGTACTTGGAACTATGATGTTGTGGCCTTTACAGAAACTTGGGTAACTCGGGGAGAGGAATGGTTGTTGGAAATTCCGGGATTTAGATGCTTTAAAAGAAATAGGGAGAGTGGAAAAAGAGGCGGGGGAGTGGCATTGCTAGTCAGGGCTAGTATAGCAGCTACTGAAAGGCAGTTCGAGAATGAAATGTCTACAGAGTCAGTTTGGGTTGAGGTCCAGAACAAGAAAGGAGCAGTCACTTTGTTGGGGTTTTTTTACAGACCCCCTAACAGTTGCAGAGAAGTAGAGGAGCGGATTGGGAGGCAGATACTGGAAAGGTGCAGAAGTCACAGGGTTGTAGTCATGGGTGACTTTAACTTTCCAAATATTGATTGGAAACATTTTAGTTGTAATAGTTTAGATGGAGTGGATTTTGTCCAGTGCATTCAGGAAGGATTCCTGACACAGTATGTAGACAGACCAACACGAGGAGAGGCCACTTTGGATTTGGTGCTTGGCAATGTACCGGGCCAAGTGTTAGACCTGTTGGTAGGAGAGCATTTTGGCAGTAGCGATCATAACTCTGTTACTTTTACAGTAGTCATGGAAAAGGATAGGTACATACAGCAGAGTAAGGTTTATTATTGGGGGAAGGGTAATTACAATTCTGTTAGGCAAGAACTGGGTAACATAAATTGGGAACAGATGCTGTCAGGGAAGAGCACTATTGAAATGTGGAGATTGTTTAAGGAATGCATACTGCGTGTGCTCGATATGTTTGTCTCTAGCAGGCAGGGATGATGCGGTCAAGTGAGGGAGCCTCTCAAGAGAGGTCGAACGACTGGTTAAGAGGAAGAAGGATGCTTATGTAAGGTTGATGAAGCAAGGAATGGAAAAGGCTCTAGAGGCTTACAAGTTAGCCAGGAAGGAGCTGAAGAAAGAGCTTAGAAGAGCTATAAGGGGGCATGAGAAAATCTTGGCAGATAGGATCAAGGAAAACTCTTAAGGCTTTTTACACGTACATGAGGAATAAGAGAATGACCAGAGAAGGGTAGGGCCGATCAAGGATTGTAAAGGGAATTTGTGCACGGAGCCTAAAGAGATAGGAGAGGTCCTTAATACTTTTCTTCGGTATTCACAACTGAGAGGGACCTAGTTGTAGAGGAGGACAGTGTGAAACAGGCTGGTAGGCTAGAGAAGGTCGATGTTAGTAAGGAAGATGTGCTAGGAATTTTGAGGAAGTTGAAGATAGATAAATCCCCCAGGCCTGATGGGATTTATCCAAGGATTCCATGGGAAGTGAGGGGAGAGATCGCAGGGCCTTTGGCGATGATCTTTTCGTCCTCACTGTCCACGGGTATAGTGCCGGAAGATTGGAAAGAGGCAAACGTCATTCCCTTGTTCAAAAAAGGGAACAGGGATAACCCCGGAAATTACAGGCCGGTTAGTCTTACATCAGTGGTGGGCAAATTATTGGAAAGGGCTCTAAGAGATAGGATTTATGATCACTTGGAAAGGCACAGTTTGATTCGTGATAGTCAGCATGGATTTGTGAGGGGTAGATCTTGCCTCACAAACCTTAGCTGAATCATTTGAAGAGGTGACCAAACACGTGGATGAAGGTGGAGCAGTGGATGTGGTATACATGAATTTAAGTAAGGCGTTTGATAAGGTTCCCCATGGTAGGCTCATGCAGAAGGTAAGGAGGCATGGGATAGGGGGAAATGTGGCAGATTGGATTCAGAATTGGCTGACCCTTAGAAGACAAAGGATGGTAGTGGATGGAAAATATTCAACATGGTGCTCAGTTAAGAGTGGTGTACCACAAGGATCTGTCCTGGGTCCTCTTCTATTTGTGATTTTTGTAAATGATTTGGATGAAGGAGTGGAAGGGTGGATTAGCAAGTTTGCGGACGATATGAAGGTGGGTCGCGTTGTGGACAGTGCGGAGGGCTGTTCTAGGTTACAAAGGGACATTGATAGGATGCAGAGCTGGGCTGAGAAGTGGTAGATGGAGTTTAACCCTGAAAAGTGTGAGGTGATTCATTTTGGAAGGACAAACTTGAAAGCAGAATACAGGGTTAAGGGAAAGATTCTTGGCAGTGTGGAGGAGCAGAGGGATCTTGGGGTTCATGTTCATATTCCCTGAGAGCTGCCACCCAGGTGGATAGAGTTGTTAAGAAGGCATATGGTGTGTTAGCTTTCATTAATAGAGGGATCGAGTTCAAGAGCCGTGAAGTTATGCTCCAGCTATACAAAAGCCTGGCTCAGCCACATCTGGAGTATTGTGTCCAGTTCTGGTCGCCTCATTACAGGAAAGATGTAGAAGCGTTGGAAAAGGAGGAGATTTACCAGGATGTTGCCTGGAATGGAGGGAAGGTCTTAAGAGGAAAGGTTGAGAGAGCTAGGGCTTTCCTCTTTAGAATGACAAAGGATGAAAGGTGACTTGATAGAGGTGTACAAAATAATCAGGGGTATAGGTAGAGTAGACAGCCAGAGACTTTTCCCTCGGGTGGAGGTAGCTATTACAAGGGGACATAGTTTTAACGTGAATGGAGGTAGATACAGGGGAGACGTCAGAGGTAGGCTCTTTATTTAGAGTGGTAGGGGCGTGGAATGCATTGCCGGACAGGGTAGTGGAGTCGGCCGCAGTAGGGGCATTTAAGTGGCTATTAGATAGGCATATGGATGATAGTATAAGGTAGGGATGGAAGTTAGATAGACCTTAAGATTAGGGTAGAAGTTCGGCACAACGTTGTGGTCCGAAGGGCCTGTACTGTGCTGTACTGTTCTATGTTCTATGTTCTGTAACTCAGGCCTACTGGTCCTTCTCTGAAATCCCTTATGAACATGCAAACAAAAACAAGATTAAACCACTCAGCCCTTCAAATAATCAGTAAGATCATTGCTGATCTGATTTAACCTTTATTCTACATTGCTGCATATTACAGGTAATCTTTCATCCCTTTGGTAATGAAGAATCTATCTGTCTCTGCCTTTAAAAATACTTTTGAGGAAGGCACTTCCAAGGACACTCAAGCCTCTGAGAGAAAATTGTTTTCTTGTCCCTTC